AAGGAACATTTCCCAAACACGCTCAAAGCTCTTAATCAATCACAACACACTGATCCAGCTGACCAATCAGAGCACAGTGTGCTTCTCAGAAGGAGGGGCTTCATAGAGACAGGAACTAAACAGAGCGTTACCGACAGACTGCACATTTAAGCACGAAAACCTGTTCTACGTAGTAGAGCCAAGAAACAAAATCAAAACTGGAAATAATATGCATCTTTAAATAAACCACAAATAATGTGATAGTGGGAACATGTTGAAGCCGATTCGTTCAGTCTGTTCCACATTATTACTGTATCTATTCAACAAACGGGTGGACTGGAGACGTCTGGAAAACAGACCTGCAAAGCCCCAGAGGTCTGGAAGCAGTCTAGGGTTGAGTGTCTTTCCACGGATACATAAGTGACAGACGGGGAAGAGATGTATCAAACAGACACATGGGGAATTACACAACAATCTCTCAGGCGGTGGGCCGCTCTGGCAAAGCTGTTCCCGCCCTGCAGTTTCGGGCCCCTGGGGAGTCCCACAAGAGCGCTCGCTCGCCTCCTTATGACTTCAAATACATACGAGAGCAGCTTGATTTTATAAGCAGACTTTACCTGCATGCGTTTGGCGAGCTTCAGCTGTTACAAGACAAGACCTCTCCAGCTCATGCAGTCGGACCAGGACAGCAATTCTCTGCTTTGGCTCAAATTTCAGGCAGAATGTCAATTTATCCTTTATTTCTGTTGAGTCATGCAGTCCGGCTCTGCTACTGCTGGCATTAAAGGGAGAGTTCATGCAAAATTTAAATTCTGTCGAAAAAGACAAAGTACCAGTATAAATATCGTCCACTGTAATATTTCATCCCAATGGGAAAAGAAAAACAATACAATGTTAACACTTTAAAATAAGTGTTCTGTTTCATTCACATTAGTTATGCATTACTAACAAAGAGCAATTCATTTTTTACAGCACTAATAAAAATATAAATTTACTTTGTTAATGGTGTTGCTTAATAAAAATGTTAGTTCACGATGCGTTGATTAATGTTAATGGATACAACTTTTGATTTTATAAATGTATTAGTAAATGTTGAGATTACTAACTAAGATTAATATTAATATAATAATTGATATTAGATGAGTACTGTTTGTTGTTAGTTCTAATGTAGTTATCTAATGTTAACCAATGAAACCTTGTTGTAAATGATTTACCCATTTAAATATAAAATAAACATGTATTAACATAAAAACATAAAAAAAAACATGTTTTTTAAAAAAATATATAATACAGTATAATTATTATATATAAAACCAAGCCTAATTTGTAGGATCATTTTGACATTCAATACATTTTTCTCTTGTGTTTTCTTTTCTTTTAATATTAGGATGAAATGTTACCTGGATATGTTCTGGAAGTTTCGTAAGATTTGGCCTGAAAAGATTTCAAAATTTTGAAATCTTCTGTAGCCATACAATAATCCAGGGACGTGCACAGAGTTCCTCGGGGCAGGGGCTCAAATGTAAAAAAAAAAAAAAAAAAGAATATATATATATGAAGAGTTCAGATGCAAAAGCCTCTAAATGCCATTTAAAATTTTCTTCTTTAATGAAGATTTTTATCAAACTTGTATATTTAATTTCAGTAATTTCACTTAAATAACAATTAATAGGTAATTATCATTGCCATTTAAGTGAAATCACTGAACTTAAATATACAAGCTTGATAAAAATGATCATTCTAGAAGAAAATTTCAAATGGCACTTAGAGGCTTTTGCATCTGAACTCTTCATATCAAGCTTTGCATCTCATAAATAAATTATATTTTTTACATATATTAAAATAGAAAACAATTAATAAAATTGTAATAATTTTTCATGTGAACAAGGGACTTCTTAAAAAAAATTTAATATATAATGAGTTTTGACCAGTAGTACTTTAGCTACTATTATTGCTGCAAAATTATCAAAAATGTTCAAATAATAAAGTCCTTTCAATCACCATTTCGCGTGTTGTTAGCATACACTTCACATAACAGACCTGTAGCACTGCCTGGGCTTCATTAGATCCATCAAATTGAAAACGATGTATGAAGTGACTTGAATACTACTTACCATTAAAGGAGAACTCCGCGAACAATGAACATTTGGTCTAATAAAACATCGGTACCTAGTCAATCGTTCTCTGAGATTTGTTTTCATGATGATCGAATGTAAAGAGTTTTATCTCTAAAAACTGTTTAGCATATAATGCTAGTATATGGGGGCATTGACTAAGTAAAAATAAATCGCTAGTTTATACCACGAAAGAGGCTCATAATAGCCCCATACTAACGCAGTAACACAATGAGGCTCCATACATGCAAAACGAAGCTTTGAGAACTTTGTAAGTGTACAGACCGTTTAATAAGAAGATACGTTATAAAGACAGTTCACTTCGTGTATACAGACAGGAGCCATCTTAGAAAATAGTCTCGATAAGTCAAACCACGAACGTCGTGCTGAGTGAGCTGAACTGTATGAAGTCAAACGAACTTCTGAACTGTATGAACGGCGTTCGGGGATCGACTTATCGAGACTATTTTTTAAGATAGCTCCTGCTGTGTCCCGCCCCTCCGCTTCCGGCCCATGGGACCTTATTTCGGAAAAAATATGAATGGTAGTCTATGGGGAGAGACAACTTATCTTTTTATTCCGTCTGAACTGTGCCCTCAATTACACATATGATGTTTGTAAATTTAAAAGATGATTATGAAAGTCAAAAACGTCGCAGTTTGTCATAAAACAGAAGAGCAACATTTAGTTTTATGTGAAAATCGCTCTGTGAACTACATGTCCCGGGAAGAGAAACGAGATCTGCTGCTCGTGTGTGCGCAGTCTGGTACAAAACACTCAGGTAGGACGGCGTAACGTTACGATTATAACGTAAGACTGTAGGAACAATGACAGACAATAGCCTCAGTAAAGTTAGCTTCATTCATTGAGAGAAAATGTGCGCCTGTGGGGTTTGTAGTCTTTGTAATTTCGTATTTTCACAGTCTTATACCTCAACGGTTTCATATCAAACTGCGACTTTATTTACTTTAAAATGTATCTTTTAAATTGACAAACATCATATGTGTAATTTTGGGCACAATTCAAACGAGATCAAAATATTTGTTGTCTCTCGCCATTGACTACTATTCAATATTTTTCCGAAATAAGGTCCCATATGGTGGTCGACCGGAAGGGGAGGGACTTAGGCTCTCTATACATGAAGTGAACTGTCTTTATAACCTATCTTCTTACTAAACGGTTGAATTTTGGCTACTTTAATTTTGTACACATTTTAATGTTATAATCAAATACATTTTGTTTTATTGACCACAATATTCTCATTGATATTTGTTGGAGAAGGGCACTTTTGATTCATTTTGAAATAGGTCAGGGACAGGGACTCAACGTGCACATGCCTGCAATACTTCATTTTTAATAAATCAGAAGTCTTCATCTCAAGTTGAATGTACATAGGCTTATACTGAAGGACTATTTGTTTCTTTGAGCCCAAACTTTTTAATGAGATTCTAAGTGCACCTTTACATTTTGATCTGTTCCTCACACAAAGCTTCAGAAGACATGGAGGAACATCACTTAACGATGACGAGTCCTGGTAAACCTGGAGGACTGGATATCTTCCTCGTGAAGAAAAATACAAAAATGAAAATGGGTAACTGGGAATCATTTTAAATCTATGTCATGAGTCGTATTCTTTTTTTCATCAGAAGTGCCACAGAGTGCATAAGTAATTTGAAGAGACCGAACACTGATAGAAAAACTCAGAAGGAAAGATCTTTCACAGTCCTCTGAGGAGCCCTTTGAAGCTCTTCAAGAAAAGATAAAAAAACCTGCGTCTTGAGATTTGCCAGTATATTAATGAGTTCAGTTGACCGTTTTGGGCAAAGTTTTCATTGTCAGAAAGAGCTGCGAGAGAACAGAAGATGAAATGAGTTATTCCTTTGTATTTATCTTCTCCTGGACCTCTGAGACCGCGTTCGACAAGAGGAAGGTGCACATTTAATAGTCTAAAAAGCTCTTCAGCTCCTTCAGCGCTAAACACTAGACAAACACACTCTGCAGTGACGATACATGTCAACATCAAACAACATCCATGGCACATTTTACTTGCATAATGTGACATTTCTGCATTAACAAAGGATATTCGATGAGAAATAATGAAGGGTTGGATCTAATTTTCTCCACATTTCCCAATGCATGCTTTTTGTTCAAATATATTTGTTACTATTGCTGTTACAATTTGAGTTGACAATTGAAGGGTGAAAACGTTCAAACTGAGCATGAATTAAAACTAAAATAAAAAACACAATTTTAGTGTTACACTCTAAAAAATGCTGGGTTGTTTCAACCCAAATTTGGATCAAATATGGACAAACCCAAAAGTTGGGTTAAAATGTTATTAAAAAATTATACAGTTAAAAAGTAAAAGTTGAAGTTGGGTTAAAATGTTGGTTTAGGTTTGTCCATATTTGACCCAAGTTTGTGTTAAAACAACCCAGCATTGTTTAGAGTGTACTAGTAAATATTAGTAGTAACACTTTATGATTTGATATTTTTTTAACATTAGTTAATGCATTAGTAAACATGACTAGTGAGCATTTTTTACAGCATTACATCTTTGTAAATGTTAATGAAAAATATAAATTGTTGGTTCATTGTTTGTTTCAAGCCAAATTTGGGTCAAATATGGACAAATCCAAATGTTGGATTAAAAATGTGATTAAAAAAATATACAGTTAAAAAGTGAAAGTTGAAGTTGGATTAAAATTTTAAGTTACATTTTTAACCCAACATTTGGGTTTGTCCATATTTGACCCAAATTTGGGTTAAAACAACCAAGCATTGTTTAGAGTGTAAATGTCCAAATGAATATTAGTTTGAAGTATTGTTAATTGTAAATTAACAAACAAAAACTATACTATATAATAGAGCATGTTTTTTTTTGCATTTAACTTCCTGTGGCAAATATTTAGTTTCATTATATGTTTAATGTCACTCTGTAACCAAGAATAAATACATTGTAAATCAACACATCTTTATACATTTTGTTAAGGTGCGTCACACGCCATTTCAGATGAAAAGAAACAACAACAGTACATTTAAAAATGCTGAAAAAGGAGGTCATTTAGGTACATGGTACCAAGATATATTGAAAAAGCAGTACGTGACATCAGAAATATTGCATCATTTCTATTAAAAATGCTGATTTTCAGCCCAGAACTATGCTTTGAATAGATCATACATCATTAAAGAATTAAATAAATTCATTTCTCTCTGAAAGTTTTACTCTGAACCCTGTAGAAAAGACATTATTCAAGGCAGTAAAGTGTTCGCAGAATTTTTTAGTAGCCTGTTACGTTCATGATAGAAACACTTTGGGATTAAAAAGGTTTATGTGTGTTTATTTTCCCCCTCTCAGTCCTCAACGCATCAATGCCAGTTTTGTCCATACCGATCCGTTTCCATTAGAGGACATCTCTTTGCTGGAATTTCAACCTCAATGTTTTAAAAGCTGGCACATTTTCTTTCCAGAAAACAGCATGAAAAGCCTGGAACTGGGGTTCGGACCCAGTTGGCTGATATTATCCTGACAACAGCCCAAACACGCATATCGAGACCAGGGCCAGCGGGCCGGTGTGTGTTACTCCACTGCCAGACTTCATCTGATCAAAGTCTTTGGTTTGAGGGTGATGGTATCGGTGATTGTTGGTATTTTCCGGTGTCACTGCAAGAGAAAAGAGAAAGAAATGAAAGTATTTCCACAGCGATCAGATCGCTTTATTCAAAGCGTGTGTTTTCAATGTGACGAGGAATGAGGATAACTAGATCAAGTTCCTGGGAAGTTATGAGTCGTAACTACTGCTGATGAAACGACCGAGAAGAACGCACATTGAGCTATTAATGAACAACTGTTAAAGGACAAGTTCGGTATTTTACACTTGAAGCCCTGTTTTAAGATCGTTTCTGATGAAATAAAATGGCTAAAATTTGGACACATGCTGCTGTCTCGAGAATTTTCTGTTTCTGTGGATGCATGATCTTGAAACAGGGCTTTAAGTGTAATGGTGTGTTCACACCGAACGCAAATTTAATTACTTGCGCGAGTAGATTACATACAAAGTCGATGCAAAGACGCGAATTAGAGCCAGACCGATATATCGGCAGACCGATATTATCGGCCGATATTAGGCATTTTCCAAACTTATCGGTATCGGCAGTTATAATGGCCGATAAATGAATATTTCAAAAATAAAATAAAAACGGACGAAACACGCTGGAACCATGTCATGAGTGTTGGAGTTGTATAGTTTGTCCACCAGAGGGCACTCTACACCGTTCCTGTTGGCAACGCTCGTTGAGTTGGTCACGATACATACATTGCTTGAATAACAATTAAAAGAACATCCCCATCAGTTCTCTTAACTCAAATAAGCATGATAAAATTTGTGACTATCATGTCTTTATGTGACTATCATTTTCTTTAAAAGCAAATATCTCCATTTGCTTTGAACTTTGAGCGTTGTAACTTTGATAATGTTGTCTATGCATCAAACAGCAACATTACACACTAACTAAAGCTAGAAAAGTGAAATCATACTTTAACACCCCTTTAACGGGGATCTATTATGCTTTTTTACATCTTTGTTTAGTGTGTTTGAGTATGGAAAAGTTCTGCAAAGTCACAAAGTGTCACTATATCTGTTTCTGAACTCCCTGACTCCGGATGCTGTCATGTATATAACAAAGAGCACAATGCATAGATTCCCATCGTTCCTGCCAGAGGAGCTTCAAAGCCAAAAACTACATCTATTCCCCAGTAGAGTCCTGCTCTCGACAAAAAAAGCTCAGAGATATTTCCAACCATTTTGTTTGTGCATGGATTTTTTTTTTAAACATTGAATAATCATTCTTTACAAGAACTGCTCCCATTTCTTGAACCGCTTGGGAATATTTATTTTAACTCTGATATGTTTGAATATGCTTAGCAAACCATAATCCATTAATAACGCAATAGAAGATTTAGACGGTGACCATCTAAAGAGCAAACAGAAGATATCGTGAGCGGTCTACGTTAGACAGGCTTACACAAGGAACGCACGCGTTAGCCAAGGTCAGCAAAAGCCATTGACATGATTCCCTCAAGTTGCCACAAATCATGTTTGAGCTTTGGTCAAATAAATCTGTGTGGACTGAAATTAAGCAGGTATCGATTGACTGCTGTGATGTCCCCAAACGGCCATCTTAAGGGCTGATCGGAGACACGCGTGGGATATCTGGCAGACCGCCAGGCCGATTGAAGACATCGATCCTCAAGCGGCGTCAGAAGCTCAGCATCCGATGAGACACTCGTGAGAGAAAACATACCAGTGGTGGTCCAGGTCCAGCACTGCTTTCATACTCTCTTAGAAGAAATGGTTCTATTTAGAATCAGAAATGGTTCCATCCCCCGCTTCATATATGGAACTCCGAAATGGTTCTATATAGAACCATTTTTTTTTGGTAAAAGGTTCTATTGGCCAAGTATGGAACCCCAGGGTTCTATATAGAAGCCAGAGGAACCCTTTTTTTAAGAGTGTATAGAACCTTTTAGGGGTTCCAAATACATAGCGCTGATAGAACCTTTTAAGGTTCTATATAGAACCTTTTCTTCTAAGAGTGTAGGTTTGAGAACACACAGAACAAACACAGCTAAACTGAAGGGGTCGGACGTATTGATTCTGATAGATCTTTTCAAAACATAATGAGAAAGGCAGATACAGGACATGTTTTTGTGAACTGACCAGGGGATCTGATAAACAATGACCTTACAGGCTTACGATGCGTTTCTGTCATTGTGCACAAAGTTGAATTCTACAACCCGTCAACAGGGGCGCAACTACCCAGTTTCAGAGGGGTATGCAGCAACAATTTTAGCGCCCCCCCCCCCCCAAAAAAAAATAAATAAATAAATAAATAAATAAAAGTAAGTGTGCTGTGTAATAAGTGAATAGGAAGAAATGAGAGCTAACAGAAAAAAATAAGTGCAAAATTGTCGTTTATTAACACAATTAAACTATAGCTACTCCACCTTGATGAACCCCCCTAAGAAAACTATAAGCTCCATTGGAACAGCAATACCAGTGTTTCTCACAGGATTTTAGGTAAAACTGTGGTAGGTGGACCTCTGTTTCTCTAGGGGGGTTCGGGGGCATGCTCCCCCGTAAGAAAATTTTGTGTTCTGTAATGTTAAATTCAGCAGACTAGTGCACTTTGAGAGTTCAAAATTAAAAGCTCCAACCCATATTCAGGGTGCAAATTAAACAGAGAAAATTTTGATCCTCTTTTAGTTAGTGTCTGTCTAAATTACACTACTACAAAATAATAGTTATTATATTAATCCCATGATAGTAATTGCCATAAAGGCTATTGTAAAACAAATGCACAGAAAAATAAAGGAAACTTTCATAATTAGTTTTGCACTAATTTCTATACTTGAAAGATACTTGCGCATAATGACATATTTCATAGGCCAGTGTGTCAGAAAAAAAAACTGAAGCTGTTTTTTTTTTTTGACTAATGCATTACACCAGCACAGCGCCGCCAATTAAGCAAAAAACAAAACAAACAACAAACAACAAACAAACAAATGGGCCGCCGATGTATGAGTTTTGTGGGCCGTTAAGACAAATAAATTAAAAAAGGATGAAATGTATTGTCTGAAAAGCACGTCGGCCCAGCGGGAATCTCCCGGTAGTCCCGATGGCCACCGAGATATAGATAGCCATGCCTGGATGTCACATTTTAAATCCTACCTGTTGGATTTCAGCAATGCATGCAGTTATTTAGCTGCTGTCGCATCAATTGACATGCCATCTCCTTTTCTCTCTGTCTTTTTCTATTTTGAGCACCACAGCATTTTGTTTTATCCATCTTTTTCGACGACAACTAACTACTCGTACCTGCTCGCTCAGCGCTCACGGCGCCCCCGCCCGCTCGCGATATTACCCGCCCCTCTTCTCCATGAGGGCGCCTACTCTAGCCTGGCTGTTAGTCCTCTAAAATTTTATATAACAATGAAGGAATGCAGAAATCATTTAGAAACGCACAACGGCAGCTACATATAGAAATAGCTGCCGTTATAGCCTATATATAATTTTTTTTTTTTTTTTTTTTTTTTTTTTTTACCATCGCTTTGGCGCCCCCCATTGTGCTGCGCCCCTATGCGCCGCATATAGCGCATACCCACTTTTTGCGCCACTGCCCGTCAACTCTTAGTGACAGTTAAAATTAATGAAATTATTGCTGCAAATCAGTCAATGCGAACGTCTTTTTTCAAATAAATAAATAAATGAATAAAAAACTATATATATATATATATATATATATATATATATATACATACATATTAGAGCTGTCAAACGATTAAAATATTCAATCGTGATTAATCGCATAGTTAACTCACGATTAATCGCACATCTATGTCTTTTGATATCTTTTTGTCCCATTATTTTTTCTCATTTTAATGCTCTTATCAACATAGAAAAGTCGATCGGCTTGTTTTGTGCAAATGTTTTTTTTTTTTTATTGAAAGCAATATTTGCATATACAGTGTTCAATTTCACACTCACATTCTCACTTGGAGCAAATAATCTCTCACACAATGTAACACTGTCCATCAATAAAAGGCTGAAAGAAATACTGACGAGGTCCTGATATTGACAGGGGTCGGAGAATTAGCATCAGGAAATGCTACGTGCTACGATGATGCTCTGTTCACAACGACAAAGATCACACAGATCACTTTGGTCTTGTCAATGGAACCATTTGGCAACTTTTAAAAGTAAACTTTCCATTCAGAATCTTATTGGCAACCATTTCAGCGTCTCGCGCTCGTCATCCACTCGAAACGTAACGCCAGCTCGCAACCCCAAACTAGTGTGTGCCTGTTGTTTTGTTTCTGGTGTAGCTAGATCCGCTTGCGCTTTGGTCGATGAAGCAACAAAATGTCCTCGCAAGACATTGAAATGAATGTGTTTCATAGTGTAGTGCGTGCCACGTCCTGTTGCAAAAGCTTGTGAAAAAAAAACTACAAAGTTTGCTAGGACAAAAAGGTTGTTAATCGCGTAATAAAAAAATTTTTTTACGCCGTTAAAATGGGTTTGCGTTAATGACATTAATCAGTCCCTCCAGGATTTCACGATTTTTTTTTGTGATTTTTGCGATCAAAATGACTGATTTTGTGGTGGTAATTTCCAAAAATTTGTGAAAAAATGTGCGATTTATATATAACATTTACCATAATAGTATTCAGTCCTTCCAGAAAAACGCGGAGCTTTTTTGTGATTGTTGCGGGCAAAAATTGATTGATTAGCCTACTCGGCCCGTTTTCTTTAAAAATGCGATGGAATATGCGGGATATTTATGCAATTTTATGCGATGAAATTGCAGGAATTTGCAAAAATTGAGAGAACTTGCAAAAATTGTGGTTTGATGAAAAAGATTTCTCTTTTTCAGTGATTCCCCCAACATCCTGTTCTCCTGTTCTTATTACTTCCTTTGATAAGCAAGCATACTACATCATAGAAAGTGCTGGGAATATTTAATTTCTCATCTTGTTTTATTGTTTTGTTTTATAGGATTATGAAATTATGCAAACCCCGCATATTTTGCAAGGAAATCGGCAATTTATGCAGCGAAAGTGCGGCGTATTTGAAAAAATGCGGCCCCGCATAAATATGCGGACTT